AAATTAGAGGGTTAAATATACGAGGGAGAGGATGTAACCCACTTATGCACATTCTCCTTCCTTTCTCTCCCTTTTAGCCTTTTCTCTTTTATACATAAATTTACCTCCTAAATTCAATAAATTGAGAAAAAGGAAGGGGGGAAAAAATGGTTTTATTGGGATTGATTGGGGGATCAGTTCCTTCCCCCTTGTATATTCATTCTTACTATGATGTCATGAAATCAAGTTATAAGAATTGTCTTTAGACACTTCAATTATATAGGTGCCTATGTCATTTTAAATGGTACTTGTTATTAATCTGATTAAAAGGTCCTCAAATTTACAGATCGCACCCTTGGATCTTGGCACAGATGGATTTTATGCAGCAAGAAAGAATATCATAGAATCTCATCTTCAGCAAATTCATGATGGCATGGCCGAGGAATTTCTCATAAAATCATGGGAAACACATTATGGAACAAGGTGTAGAGGAGTCAATTGGGATCGCCATTCTTTGGACGAGCTTCATGCTGCTGTTGCATGCATCGGAGGCCCCTGCTTGACCTCTCTCTGCAGGCTATTTGCTCAAGATTATCAGAGCTGGTCCAGTGGAATGCCGGATTTACTGCTATGGCGTTTCCATGGGAAATACAGTGGTGAAGCCAAGCTTGTTGAAGTTAAAGGTCCCAAAGATCGTCTCTCTGAACAGCAGCGAGCATGGCTGCTTCAGCTAATGGATTGTGGATTCAAGGTAGAGGTTTGTAAGGTGAAGCCATGGTGAAGTAGCACACAAATTGCCCAAAATATCGGGAGCTGCTCATGAAAGGTGAGTGCTGAGCAAATTTTTCATTGCTTATTATGGGAATGGTGTTACCTTGCAAATGTTCATTGTTGAGCATTACTTTGGTTGGATACAAAGGACCTGTTTTTTGGAACATTAAAGAGGATCTATGATGAGAGGAATTTGATTTGCTCGTGGAAATCAAGGAATAGATGAAGAGTTTGATAGAAATGAGTTACCACATGCAATAATTTGTGGCCCAAAATATATTGATGCTGTGTTATTCATAAATCATGAATAAAAACAGTTCATTTTTGGGACTTACTTGCATAAAAGTGTTTAGTTGTGACTTGTGATTGTGATTCTGTGATCAATCAAATATTCAATATTCATCAATTTGGACTTTGTTTTATTTCTCTGAAAGATGCAGTTACTTTTTTTTTTTTTGTGCATGGACTTTTTTTTTTAAATTCAAAACTATCTTATTTAAGGCACTGTCATGTAAACCAAGTTGTTGATGGCTTGGCTAAGCAGGAAATTCATATTACAACTTTCTATGACATGGCACCTCAATTTTTGAGGGACCTAGTGCACAAAGATTGCTTGGGATTTCAATCTCTTACTGTTTAATTTTACTTCTATTTAAAGGCAATAGAAGGTTCAACGATGTACAAGATGATGTTCAGCAATTTAGTTATGCATGCTGAACTTTCTGTTAATTTGGGCCTTTATTGTCATTTTTTCTCATCTGGAGGTTCTGAATGTGATTATTTGTGCTTTTTTTATTTAAAAAGGAGGAATAAAGTACAAGATAGTATAAGTTTGAAAGCATTTGTATGTGCCAACCGAAAAAATGAAGCACTACTTTAAAGGCAATGAATTATGAGGGATAAGATTTAAAAATTTTTTTGGGAGAAGATCAAACTATATTAGATAATAAAAGTACTTGTAATAAAATGTTATAGTTTAAAGCTGTTATAAGAAAACCATGAAGAGAAACTACAAAAATATAGAACATGCTATGCGAGACAAAAAAAAAATTATTGTACCTTGAACTCTAGAAGAAGTGATTTGATATCCAAGAGGATCAGATTAGTGGAATCTTTCAAGAATAATCTTAAAAAGTAGTGATTTTTTTTTTTTTTACCATTTTAATCATACAAAGTGAAGCCACTTTAAAGTATTTTTGTTAATCTTTTCAGCTAGTTAAAAGTTAACCTATATTTTAAAGAGGATAAATTCATCAATTTATATGACTCATGATGCACCAAAAAATATAAAACATTTTAAAAAATTAAGATTTTATTGAATAAACTTATTTCAATATTATCCTTTTTTTTATTTAATTTTTCATCTCTCTCTCTTTTCACTATTTTATATGAAGAGTATTTTTGAAAATTTATATTTTATATTAAAAAAATTAAGATCATTAAGCGTATTTAATAATAATTATTAGTATATGATATTTTTTTCAAAAGGATCTTATATTGTAATTTGATATTGATAGAGTATCATCTTTTAAATTTTTAATCTCTTCATGTAATTTCTTATAAATAGAACTCTTCTTTACATAATTTAAAACAAAAGTTTGCAAGCTTCTTGCAAAATATATTGACGACCAATAAAATTGCTTCGTTTTGGTGCAAAAAATAGTAATAATAATAACGAGCAGTACACGTAACGTAACGCCGCAATAGACATAAATTGCCTAATCGAATTAGGTAGCCTTGTTATGGCTTTACATAATTGAAGTACGTTCATGAATGAGTAGAAAGTAGAAACAGCTTGCAAATTGAGAGAGTCAAATGAAGAATTTTGGCCGAAAATGAAATAAAATATGTAGTTAATATTATGAAGGATTGCTTGCTTGTTGCTTGCCAGTCGTTGAAGATGCTGTCCTCCACGTTCTATCCCGCCAAAAACACTGCTAAGTTATATGCTCTTTCAGTTTTTTAATAAATCATTTTTAAGTAACTTATTAAAATAAAATTAATTTAGTTAGAGTAATAAAATTATCTTAAAAATAAATCATGTTTCAATTTTGCCTCTAAGTCTAAAAAAGAGTTGTTTGAAATGTTAAAAAAGTTTTCTTAGGAATGGAAACAATGCACTTTTTTTAGAATTTTTTAAAAGGTAGTTTTGAAATAGTACATTAAAGATAAAAAGCAAGGCAAAATGACTTATATAAAATATCAAAAAAAAAATTTTTAGAATGTGATTAATAAAAAGGATCAGCGGGTAATACTAAATTCTTGTCATTAATATATATATATATATATATACACACACTCCTACTCTTATTTATAAAGGAGAAAGAGAAATTTTTTTGGCCCTATTACTAAGTCATGCTATTAAATTTTTATCAAGAAATTTTTGTTACACCCTCCATTTAGTGTTAGTAAAAAAAACATTATTAAAGTATGAATATTTAATATAAATTAATTAAAATCTTATCAATTTTTGGATAATTTTATTGAGTTTTAAAGTTTTCCATCATCTTGATAAAACTGTGCCTAGTAGAATTTTTTTTTTTTTTGGGATGAGTTTTGCCCGAGAAAAATTAAACAGTGCCTCTTTAGTGGAAGGCTGGAAGCAGCATGATTATTGGTCAACTCGCAAAATATTTTATTAATTTAAATAAATCAATATCTCATCGTCTAAGTATGTTTGACAATTCGACATTTCGAGCTGATGATATTTATTTTATTTTATTTTAGTTTTTAGTTAAGGTAGGAAGAACATGTGATTGGGATAATTAATTACAGAACCATGGAGTACTTGAATATAATATTGAATTGTACTACAGGTTAATGTGAAATGTAGTGTTGTTGGGTCAAGTTCATGCCTCCATTCCTTGTTTGGAGTGTTTTTTTTTTTTTTTTGGAACCAATTATTATGATTGCTAACTGTATTTTAAAGTGTAATATTTTTAAGGATTGCATGAATAAATTATCACTTGTATTTTTTAGATATATTCATCTGGTCTTATTTATAAGTCATTTTTAACATGCATATTTTGTCAAAACTAAGAAAAATCATAAAACTCATTAATTATATATAAAAATTTAATAAATTTTTAATTTTACTCCTATAAAATATGCATTCTTTAATAACATGCTTTTCCTCGTCAACATTTAATGAAAAATAAAAAAATTAAAATTATGATAAAAAATTAATGACATGTAAATAAAATAGGAGGGAGTATAAATTATTTTTTTTGCACTACCATAAGAAGTTTTTTTTTTTCCCAAGAAGAAACACAAATAAATTGATGATACTCAAAGTTTGTGAATCAGCTAAATCTTAGCATTTAACAGGCTAGCTAAATAACAAGCGTGCTTCTCTGTCGAATAATGCTTTTAACATGTGTAATAACGTTCTCCTCCAGCCCCACTTCCTTCAATAAATGCAATGCCTAAATGGGCCCTGAATATTTAAGATTAAAAAATAAATAATTTTTAAATAATGTAGAGTTTTATAAAAAGATATTATTTTATAGAGGTTTTATACTTTTATAGAGAAGTAAATATTATTGTTGGCTATTTTTAAATAGAGTTAATAAACATCCTAGATTTTAAACTATTGCTTGGATAACATTATGAGTTATGAACTCTTGAAATGTGCAAAATCTCAAAGATTTTCTCCCTTCAACTTTTAAATTTTGAGCATTAAAAACCTTGCTGTTAAGTTAAAAATTAAAAATGGTAATTACTTTTAAAGAACAAAATGAGTATACATCACCATGCAATTAGGCTTCACAATTATAAAAATAACGGAATGGTGTTGTTGCCAGAGCATATAGATCCTTCCATGATGAACATCCGCTTTTTTTGTAACATCTTAATTCCAGACTCTACACAACATTACAATTCATGAGTTTTATTTTGCTGAATCAGTGTGCGTGTGTATAACATTGTTAAGTGCATTACATGTCATCATTTCCATTCCAGTCAGGGGACAAGAATACTCAACATTTTTTTTCCATTAACCTCATGTTATCCTTAAATTAATAATAGTGCATATATATACCTATTAATTTTATAAAAGAGATCAATATTTCCCTAATCTATTAAGTTTTAACCTTAGAACTTATTCTAATTTGATTGATTAATAAGAGCATGTTGAGCATATAAAGCTAAAACTAAGAATGTGAAAATATTAATTCTGATATACATTTTTTAATTCCTGATTGAATATGATATCTTTTCCTCTTTAATTAATTACGTTGAAATCCCAAAAAAAAAAAGTGAAAGAGAAGGCAAAGTACATTTTGTCTTGTTCATTCTTCTCAGTCAGAAAGCTACTCATCATTTGAGTTAATCCTACTTGATAACTGAATACATAATGCTATATATGAAAAACCACATCGTCATTTCATCACCTTCTCTTGAGAAATTTGTTCGTTTTCACCACTTGTGCAGATTGGGTACCTGAATGGTTTTCAGCAATTTTTCAAAAAGTAAGTAGTGGAATAACGGTTGAAGTGAAAGTAGAAGAGCTTAAATAGGATAGTAGTCCCTCACCTCTGAAATAATTGTGACGTTGGAGTTGTACATGGAATAAGAAAGTTAATAAATAGATCAAGTTTTATCAAAATGCATTAATGGTATTTTACTTAAATTTATCTTACATATTTGAATGGAAGGAATAACTATTTTAAAAGGGAAGGAGTAAGAAGAAGATGACTTATATTGTTACCTCTTTTCTCTCTTCTCCCCAAACTTTTGCAACTACTTGATGAAGTGTTGGTGAAAGCTTGACCTGATGAGGAGTAGGAAGTAGTGGTGGTCGGATGAGATTCACTTGCATCTCTTCTTTACATATCACTCTCCACCCACATCCCAATATTTCAATGTTAGAACTTTGGAAAGTAGAAAGTAAAATGTGAAGGGAATTGTTATGAGGTGTCAGATGTTGCCAACATGTTTTCTCATTTAATTCCAACACCATTAATATGCACAGATGAGAAGGAGTCTTATAAGATTCCCAAATATCAATATCATGTGCCCACTCTTTGCATATATAATCATCTCCTGCAGCAGCCTTACTACCCCACCAAATCACACCACTCTCACCTGAGACATGGAGGCATACTACAATTCCAAACCATTCACTTTCACGGAGATATAGAGGTATGTCCACTTTTATCTCACATTCTCGTCTGTACTCATCCAAAAGATGATATTCTTTACTTGTACAACATGATGGTAATTTGCATCCAGCTGGTATAGTTGCAACAAAATCTCTTTGGGGCAGACATTCTGACTGCACTAATACTAAACTGTTATTCTCATTAATTAATTACCCTTAATGGGAGCATGTCCCAAATAATACACACGAAAAAGAGATAGATAGTCATACCTTAACATGCTTGAACATCAACGGTGGAACAAAATAACTATCATGCCTCTCATGATCAGAATTTACATATTCAATTTGCCGACGATACTAAGACGAAGAATTCATTATGTTATGTATGTATAATTAAAAAAAATACACACGAGTCATTAATTTTAAATAGATTGTAGGAAGACAAACATATACCTCATGGTCATGTGAAGCAACCAAATTCCATTGCTGTCGACCTGATAAAGGTTCCATTGAATCACAACCAACTGCACTTAACCGAATCAACTGTAGTGGAAGCCTTGGCAATGACTTGAGCCTTTTGCAATCATCCAAAAAAAGATAGAGAAGTCGAAAGAGACCAGAGAAACAACCCGTGGGCAGATTAACAAAATCATTTCCTCTTAGATCCAATACAATGAGTGATGATAAACCACTAATATTATCAGGAATTGATCCCTCATTTAAGCCACAACATAGTAAATATAACTCTGTTAACAACGTAAGATTCAAGCAAAAAATTTGGTGATTCACAGGACTAGTCTTCACTGACTTGTAGCAGCCACTCAATTTCAAATATCCAAGACCTGTCAATGAATCAAGTGACTCTGGAAATGTAGTTATAGCAGTACCACTCACATCAAGATATGATAGTTTCTTCATGCCTTCCCCAAACTCTGGGAACATTGCAACTTTTCCACACCTACTTAGATCTAACTTTTCTAAAGAATTTGTTTCCCATTTTCTTGGTAGGATTTCAAGATTGCTACACTCACTCAAGTTCACCTCAACTAGCCTTTTCAACTCTCCAAGTGAGCGATGAACCATGACAAGGGATTGACAGGAATAAAGATTTAAATGTTCTAAATTTGGAACTCTTGAGAAGTCCGGAGTTTCAATCAAATTGAAAGAATTGCTTAGATCAATACATTTCAACTTTTCCATAGGCTAGACAAATAAAAGATATGAGAGTTAGCCTCACTAAACGATATATCAATAAAACATGGACACAAACATATTTTTAAAAAAGATAATATTACATGGAGTGTTAATCTCACCTGTCTACCATTCCAAAGGTGTTTTATTTTGCTTTGCTGCATTTTAATATGAACAAGTTTATCCAAGGGAAGTGGGAGAGTTTCAAGAGGAAATTGCGGCCAATGAACAACTTTCAATGCACTAGAAAGTTTCAATTCCCTTGGTAAGATGAGTTCACAATCGGCTGCATTCATTATGAGCAATCTAATATTATTCATCTTTGAAAAGGCCTCAGGGTGTACTTTTCTTTTATGTAAGTTCCCATAAAATCCTCGCATAACAATAACTTGTGTTGCTTCTGATCCCTGACAATTGCCACACAAAAAAAAAACATCAAAATGATAAGAAAGTAAAGTATATATAACTAAAAACTTGAGATCTATGTTAACAAAATGAGATATTATATTTAGAAAGTTGCTTTGTTTCATATTTAAGTAATAGTTTTTTTTTTCTTTCAAAAGACAGAAATTAAAAAATTTGTTTGAATGAGTATTTCGAATCTAATTATTTCTAAAATTGTTTTCACAAAAAAATATAAATATCATAAATCCATTTTCATTTTATTTTTCTTATTTTCAAAATACATTATATTTGATTATTGAAAATTAAAGTTACATCGATCAATAATTATCATAAAACATCACCATTAATCACTAGTAGCCATCATTATCAATCAATTTTAATTCTAAAACTAACTTTAAATCAGCAAAATCAAACAAATTTTATTTTTTTGTTTTGAAAAACAAATTTAAAAACTATATTGCAAAACACCTTTTAAAAACAAAATATGAGAACAATTTTTGTTTTGTTTTCAATGCACTAGAAAGTTTCCATTCCTTTGCTAAGATGAGTTGATTATTAGTGTACTCTATTATGAGTAATCTAATATAAATCATCTTTAAGAAGGCTTTGGGGTGTGCTTTCATATTTTCTGCGTTCCAACAATAATATCCTTCCATAACAACAACTTGTATTGCTTTAGATCCCTAATAAAAGTGTCAGTTGTCAGGAAAATAGCATGAAAATGATAAGAAAGTAAAGTATAATAAAAACTTGAGATCAATCTCTGTCAACAAATGAGATATTTAGAAAGTAAAACACTCACCATGTTATTTTCCAATACTTCTTTAATGTCCTCTAACTTCCACAACCTGCTACGGTTGCCAACGTTGGGAGATTCTTCACGAATAATGTCCTTACCCAACTCTTCAAGTAAATCATGTATCTCTAAAGTAGAATATCCCAAAAAATCTTCCGTTTCAACTGGTAAAGTTTTTTCAAACAAGACTTCTATTCCAATTGTTGGGTTTAGATCACAACCTTTCAAAACTTGGGCCACTTCATCTTTTCTCCAACCCCTAAAAAAACAAGCAATATCTAAAAATATTGTCTTTTCTATCTCATTTAATCCATCATAACTTATTTTAAGTATTTTAAGAATATTAATATCTAGAATTTTCTTCAACCTATCCAAAGTATCGATCCATTCATCTTTACTTCTTCCGCAAAGAAAAGAACCTAGAACTTTAAGTGCTAAAGGAAGACCTGCTGCATATGCAACCACAGATTTAGATAACTTCCAATAACCTTCTTCAGGATGATCTTTGTTAAATGCTTTCTTAGAAAAAAGTTGAAGAGACTCAACTTTCTCCATGGCTTTCATCTCATATATTTTCCCTCCACATGAAGTGAGCACATGCTTATTTCTTGTTGTGATAATTATTCTGCTTCCTTTACCAAACCAATTTGAACTTTCAACCAACTTCTCTAATTGACTAGTATCATCTAAATCATCAAGGACAAGAAGAACCTTTTTATTGCAAAAAAGCTTTCTTATCATCTTCATTCCTTCATAATCATCATGAATTTTCTTGTTTATGCCAAGATAAGAAAGAAGTCTTTTCTGCAAAGAGACTAGGCCTTTTGTTTGCAAAGTTTCTCTAACATTGGCAAGAAAGCAATACATTTCAAATCTGTCAGAGATTTGTTCATAAACAACTCTTGCAAGAGTTGTTTTGCCGACACCACCCATACCCCATATCCCAACAAAGTAAATGTCATCCAACCCAATCTCCAAGCATGACATTAGATCAACCATTCTTCGCTTTGTGCCAACCAGATTATCATCATAAGATGGTAATTGGGAGCATAAATATTTCCATATTGCTCCCACTACTTCATCGATAAGGTGCGCTTCGGGCCTATAAAATAAAACAATAATGCAAAATATGACTTTCTATGAATATTGTCTACTAAAATTAGATATAATGTTGCAGACGGTGAAGGGGAGATAATTGAATTGTGAATTCGTGGGCAAGAATTGATCAAATGGCTTGCTAGAATAAAAAATTCGATGACGATTTTTTGAAAAAATAAACTTATCAACAAATGTTTCTATAATTTGTGATATATGAGCTGTAATTCAGTTAATTTGCTCATCCTTTTAAATTTTATCTGTCTGAACAAATTAAAATCATTAAAAACGAATACAAGTAATAAATACAAATAAAATAAAAACATTGGATGGAGATGTGAATAGAGTTTTAAAATTCAAGTCGTAAGTATGATCAAGCCAAAAAAATTAAAACAATTAAGTAATTGATATGAGCCTTACTGACCCCATTTATCAGTGAAGACTAAGTTTAACAACTCATGAAATGAATAATCTCCATCTATTTCACCAAAACAAATTACAAAGTACTTATACGTGTTTTGCTCAAATAAAACGATAGATAAACGAATAAAACGACACTGAATGAAAACATTTATTGTTTAATTCTATTTCTTATTTTTTACAGCAACTAATAATCTTTAAAATATGGTCAAGTCATTTTGAAAAATAACCTACCGACTTCTGGTGTCCCAACCAGATATGTTTCCAATTTCAGATAAAGAGTTTTTCCAAATCTGCACTGTGTCCATGTTTCCTCTGTGTCTTTTTTCATGATTGGCCAGAGCTTCTCCGAATCTTTTTCTTTGATTTCTTACATCAGATGGATCTACATCATAGAAGATTGGAAAAACTCGTCGACCCATTTCGTTCATGCTTGCAAGAATTTGTTGTAGTTCGTCCAAACACCATTTGGAATCTGCATAATTTTGAGAGAGAACCACAACTGCGCAGCGAGAATCCTTAATTGCTTGAATGAGCTGTGCTGATATAACTTCTCCTCTCTCAAGTCCTTCATCATCTCTAAAAGTTCTGATCCCACTTCTAGTAAGAGCATGATACAAGTGATCAGTAAACTTCAAGCGAGAATCTTCTCCTCTAAAACTCAGAAAAACGTCATATTTCCAAGTTAGAGTTGAATTAGAAGCACCAGAGGTTGAGGAAGATTCTTCCAAGACAGTGTTCGCCATTGCAGGTTTGAATTTCTTGGTGGTTGTGTCCAAATTTGAGATCTACACAATCAAAATCATATCAATAATTGCCAAAGAAAAAGAAAAAAGAATATCAGATCCATGAACCAGAACCAATGGATTTAAAATACTCCCCGCACAATGCTGGATGGATGCAGCCCAGCTATGAATGTTGTTGAATAGATCAGAGATCTGAGTTTCCTCTTTACTACTTCATACTCAGTGCTGTGATTTGACGTCACTGAACTACAAGCTGTGGAGAGAAACCAGAGAGATGTACAGCTATAGACGAGACCCAAGCCAAGACCTGTTTTGCCCGTCAATGACTTTCTTTTTTCTATGTCGTTCAATTTACTCAATCAAAAGTGAACTATTTCAGAGGGAACCATCTATTTACTGTTATGCTTGGTATTGTGAATGCACATCTGTATTAAAAAAAAATACTATTTCATTTAATTTACTAGCCTATGGCTGGGTATATGCTGGAATTGAAATATGATTTTAAAATATTGGCTTTACTCTAGCGTCTAGATACCTAGAGATGAAGGAAAGAAAAAGAAGGGGGTGAAAAGGTTGGATGCAATAACAGTTATGTACAAAACTTTGAATTCATTGTCTGATATGTTATGTCATTGTCGTGTCTGATTGGTGCTTCATGGGAACCCAAAGCAAATTGCTGTATCTAATTGATTTATAAATTTATCCTTCTTAGCTCTTCATTTAATATGTGTAAAAATTTACTCAAAAAAAAAATATGGGTAAAAATTAAACATGGTTTGAAATAAATAAATAAATAAATTATTGGTTTAATGATTTACTGATTTTATTAGTTTTCGCTGATTTGATCAATTTTAAATTATTTCCAACTAATTTGCAATTTTACTCCCAATTTATGGAGTGGATCATGCTCCGATAATTGTTTCACCGGTTAAAAAGTATGCTTCTCCCAAATGTAATTTGTTGAGTTGCAGTGATAACGACTTGGCTGAACTTTGGGGCCTTCTTTTTGGCCTTAAGCTGGCATGGGATAACAGATATCGTCGACTTCTTGTCGAGACGGATTCTACAGAAGCTATAGAGAATGCGAAGATCCCTCCCAACCCTGAACGCAGTGATAGGATCCTAATCGAGGAAATCAGACAACAGCTTGATTGGGATGGGAAGTCCGCATCCAACACGTTCAACGAGAATGTAATCAGGCTGCTGATGCGTTCGCGAAGCTTGGATTTGATGCGATGCCCGGTGTAACATCCTTGATTTTTAAACTGAATTGATTAAGCCTGAACTTGATTAAATTAAGTATACTAGTAAGGTGTGTGGCCCAAAATGCCTAATAGGCATGTTTGATAATGTTTCAGTCCTGAAAATGGGTTCAAAAGAAAATTGAGTTATCCAAGAATAAAAAGAGAAAAGAAATCTAAAAGAAAAAGCTTTGTATCACGTGCTGCTAACACGTCTAGAGAGGTCCTCTCTATACCATGTGCCACGGCGCATTATATGTTCGCCGCAACGCATGGCCACTTTTCTACAAAATAAGATTGCAAAAATAGATGATGCAAAAGAAAGAAATGAAGATATATGAAGGAGGGGTGATAATGCTCTCTGTTAGGGCTTGAGAAATTCGAGCATTAAAAGTATTTTGAAGCTCATAAATATTAAATGTAAGCTTCCTACACTCAAATCTTCCTAGTTCCTTCCATTTTTTTAGTATTGAAAGTTAAGGTTTGTTTGGTAATAATGCTTTTCGGTTCATATAAGCTATGGGTCTGAACATATTGACTTAAATAAAGTTAATGGGAGTAGATCGAGCTAATGAAACATGGTGTTTATGGAGCTATGATGATTGGTAATTGGGGAGCATTTAATATCCAAAAATCCACCATAAATATGTTAGTTGGGGACAAAGTGATTTCATTAATGGCCATTAAAAAGTTCAATGAAGTTAATGTGGGCTAGAAAAAGCTAACAAACCCTATGGGTATTCTTTATACGAGTAAAAAATGAATTTTGAACATGAAGAAGTAATGAGTTAATAGTGAAAATTAACCCAAATGTGAATATTGATGAATTTCATTATAAATGTTTGTGGAGTGACTATCTTTAGTACTATTCAAGCTTCTTAGAAGTTTTGAGAATGAGTATTTAAGGGGTGAAACCTTTGACCTCTCAAAGGTTTGAGATAATTGAAAAAATTTTACAATGTGCTTTTGTGTCTCAATTAATTTATTAATTAATTTTTGATAACTTAAATGTGTAAAATTGAATGGAATACAAGAGTGGCTTGATTTGTTTGAAAACCCTCTATAAAGTGGCTAGTTAATGAAGTTTATGATTCTGTGTGTTATGTGGAATTCCATAAATACTTGTAAATAGAGTTCAATGATTTGGAAGGTGAAAAGTTCAATGAATATTGTTGTTTTGGGAGTTCTATAAATGTTTATGATGTGGAGTGTAATGATGTGACTTTCTACTATGAGAAGTTCAATAAACATGCATATTGTTGTAGAGTTTAATGAAAAGTATTTTTGAGGAGTTCAATGATTGATTTATGCATCTTGTTTTGATTATCATGTGTGAAATGAGTACAGTGATATTGTTACGCATGCTTGTGTAGTGAATACTTGCATGCTATAAATTATTACATAAAGTCATTGCATAATCGTAAGAGATAGGAGTTCGCCTAAGTAGAGAAGTAAAGATCTAAATCCACGTGGTAGGACTCCCATCAGAGTGGACGGCTTGCCTGGATCATTTATATACTTATTATCCTACTTATTCAACGAGGGACTGTCTTACTAGTTCAATGAGGCACTTGAACTTAACTAACTATCTACTGATTCAACGAGAAAGTTAGTTTAGTGAGAATGACACCCCATAATATGAGAAAATAAGAGCAATCATGTTTCACCTGTGAGTTGGAAAAAATCTTGGTCGGGTGACCCCTCATAAGTATTTAGGCTAAGGAAGTCTCGGATTATAGACTATCCCAATTTGTTACAGCCCATGGTTTCAAGTTAGAGGAATAAGGAGGATATAAAGAAAATGTGATCATGCATATAATGAGAAAAAGGGCACATGATTGTATGTATTGTGACCCTCATGTTGATGACAGCGAGTTTAACTCAATTCGATGTGAAACTATGTTAAAAGATCATGATGTTAGTTCTCTTCTTGTATGAAATTATATTTACTATTCATGATCCTTTGAGCATGTGCAATTATGTTTAAAAATGTGGATTTTATGCTCTAGAGAATGATATATAATTTGAAATCATATTTAATTAGTCACTTGCATTTAAATTAATTGATATGCATTAATATAAGTTAGTTGGACCTTGGTTACTGAGTGATTGAACTCACCCTATTATCTTTAATATTACAGGGAATAGCTTAAGAGGATTGGATAAAGAAAAATTACCAGAGGCATAGGATTGTTATCCTATTAGTAGGCCTCTTTATTTTGAATATTTATGTGTAAATGATGATTAAAATTGCCAACTAAAAATGATCCATTTTTGCATCTTACTTGCACTATGTGTATTGTGGGTTATAAGTGTATTTTAGATTCTAGGATATGTGTTTGTGATTTATGGCATTGATAGTATAGTCAAAATACTAGTGCAAGTAAGAGTTAAGAATAACTTGAATAGTTTATGAATTATTTAATGAAATGGGTATTTTAACTCCCTTTTCTATTTTTGAGAATTAAGGGGATGAGTGTTGAGAATGTGATTTATAAGCATTTTGCATGATGTGGTGCGTTGTGTAAATTAGTTTTGTTATATTGTACGTGGTCTAAGTAGTGTCAATAGCTCTTGGCTTTTGGTGAATTATTTAGACACTTAATTTTGTGAAAAATGTAGTAAAAGTGTAAGTTCTCTAAAGAGTATTCAAATTTCAAATATGTAATAATTTGATTATGGAACCAAAACCATTAGTTAGAACTCGGAAAGAGCTTTTCGTATACACCTAGCTCACATCAATTAGATGTCGAATGGAGAAATGAAACACGTCAAAAGTTACCCTAAAAGCTGTCAAACCAATTGTAAAAGTTTGTTATCATGAGTCGTGCAATGTGACACGACACATTGTGCAATAAGCCGCGGCGATGACACAGAGGCAAACAAGCCGCAGTGCTTGTTCAATGAGCCGCAGTACATACTCCTAAAAATCACATAATTGCATTGTTTTGTGATTTCTTAGCATGTGCATTGAACCTTAAAGTAATCTCATGCTTTTACATAATTATAAACTCTAATTTATAAATTTTGAAATTTTTTTTAAATGGATTTAGTTTTGAAAACTTGGGACATTATCTTTATAACTAATTTGCAAACTTAATAAACTTATTTTTACCTCAATCCAATTTTTTGATTAATTGAAATTTGAAGTTAATTATGAACTGTGAGGGAGGATATTGCACCTAGCTGTCATATTTTCCGTCAGCCTCCTTGCAAGGTTTGCCATGTCATTGAGCAAGAATATACTACTGTAGTTTGTAATGGCATTGCGTAGGCAATGATTTTATAAAAACTAAAAAAATTATTGGATTAATGATTCAATGATTTATTAGTTTTAGTTGATTTCATCAATTTTAAATTAGTGCAAACCAATTTGCAATTTTACTCCCAACTTATGGAGTGGATCATGCTCGGATTATTGGTTTCACCGCTTAAAAGTATGTTTCCAAAACTTATTATAGTTTTGTCTCTACATAGATTTGGTAAATGGATTAAGTACACTACTCACTCAATGAATATTTTATGTGATACAATAATTACATTTTGATTTAATTGAATGGTTGATAAGTTTTATTATTTGGATAAATTTATATCATATAAGTCCTAGTTTATGCAAAGTATACCACTCCAAAATAAATGCATTTTCAAATGAATAGAAAAAATATTTTCAGCCTTGCATTAAGTTTTCAAAGTGAAAAAATATATTAGAATAATAGTTTAAATCTTTACTATATAGGAAGGAGAAAGGAACAACGTCAAAGGGAGAAAAAAAGGAGATGAGCAATTATTAATAATCATCCATTTAGTCTTTCGGATTTGACTTAATTATTAATTTATTCTTTTAAATTTAATTTTTATCAATATGGTTTCTCATGTTTTTTAAATTATCATGTTAATTTTTAAATTTTAAAACACTAATTGATTTTTAAATTTATCTAATATGTAAATTATATTGATGACTTTACATATACATGTAGATCACCTGATATTTTTGGGGTAGTAGACCATTCAAGAATGTTGATTTATTGCATATGCCTACTTGACAAAATACCTTCCTTCCACGCTTATATTTCCGCAACCAGATTGAC